CGAGGGCACCCTGGCTCCCTCCTCCCGAGGCCTGAGAGCTGAGGCGTGGCCGGGCGCAGTGGCCCTCAGGCCCCTCAAGGCTCCTCCTGACCCCTCAGGGCCTGCGGGGCCTCGGGCCTCTGGCAACGCGAGGCTCAAGAGAGGAGAAGGGCCCAGCTCTGGGGGTGATTTCACAGGGGCCCGAAGGCCTTCCTTTATCGCCCCTCGTCCCATCGGCACCCTCACCCCATACTCAGCTACTCCCTGGCCTCGGATTCCACAGTGAGCGATAAGGAAAGCCAGAGTGGCTGGAATTCCTCCCCCAGCTGGAAGGGAGGGGGAGAGCATTCACGGGGTAAGGGTAGGGGCAGAGTGGGAGCGGGGGAGTTGGGGAGGGGCGCTAGGGGGACCCCCCCAGTGGGGGCTACTTAGCTCAGGGGGGTGGGGGTGGTGGGGTTCACCAGGAGGAAATAAGGTTCTTATTTCTGTGCAAATAAGGTTCTTCCTCTGGGCCCAGGTCTGTGGTCTTCCCCAGGATCTTTGTGGGGGCTGGTGAGGGGCAGGGGTGGGATGAGGGGCTGATTGGCCCTGTCTGAAGAATCAGAGCTTGCGGTTCTGAGGGAGCCAAGTGCCCTGCCCAGTTTGGGGGAGTAGGATGCCAAAGGAGGGGCCCAACCGAGGAGCCCTGTACTCCTCTGCCAAGAATTAGAGGTGTGGTTGCTTTGTTTTAGGAGCTAGGCTACCCGCAGATACAAAGACACACAGATAGTCAACAGAGAGGCCCACAGGCGCTCAGAGGCCCCCAGACACCCAGGGACACGTGCATTGCCACGGAGACGGACATTTCCTGCACCCTCTGGGTAGCTCAGTTTCCCTCCAACTCTGGAGCCTGTTTTCCAAAGGGAATTGTGATGGTTGGCTGTTGGGATAGTGGTTGTGTCCCGGCCCCAGAGCTTGGCTTGTTGTAGCTTATGTGGAAAACGGCCACTCATCTGAGAAGCTGTCTGGGGACCTCTTGTCCTCCGTTCCTAAAACAGCACAAAAACAGGCATCAAGGACATTCAGGAAAAGTCCCAGGCACTTCCTCGTGAACTGGCTGAGTTCTGTTGACCTTGGAGTTGGAAAAGTTCAAATGTAACCGGAACCGGTTTCTGCATAAAACTCGTCAAATGGTGTCACATGTCTGGGGCAGGGCTGAGGGCTGGTGTTAGTGACTTAGTGAGACTGGACAAGGCCCCTGGCTTCCCAGGAAAGAATGCCCCTTTCCCCGAACCATTGGCTCTATGGAAAAACTGGAATGAGCCTTGGGGCATTTATTCCCATCTGTGGTGAAGCTGACTGCCTTGTAGGAGCCTCACACTTGTCTCACACTTGTCACGGGGACTCGTCTGGGCTTTGCCTCCTGCATCTGGCCTTTGTCAATACCAGGAGAACACACAGCAGAGAAGCAGCGATGGAGGGAGGGAAGCAGGGGTGGCTTGAAAACCAGGCAGAATAGGGAAGGCAGTGGATCTGGACTGGTAGAGAAAAAGCTGGAGAGTGGACAGCTACCTGGCTGAGCTGTTGTATGGTAGATGATTTTTAATTGCCCGCCTGATGAGCACAAAGCAGTGTCCCAGCCTGAGAACTGCAGGCAGGACGGAAGTGGCCGGTCCAAGTCCCCTTGTATCTAAATGCGAATGCTACTTTTCATTAGGCCTTTGGAGGAGGCAGGGCTGGGGCTCCAGTGGGAGAGAGGGCTCTGTTTTGCCCCTGTCGGCTGGCTACAGACCCCCCACAGGTCCTCAGGGACAAGGAGGACCGGATTTATCTCACCTCTGGAAAAGCCTCTGGCCAAAGAGGGAAGAATGTGACTGTGAATGGCTGTGATGGGGGTGGGTGGGGGGCGATTCCCAGTTCCCTAGCAAGGCCTGACTCTTGTGTTAGAGCGGGCAACCATGCAGTCTTCTGTCCCTCACAATAGCTTGACTGCCTGTGGGGATGGGAAGAGGGCCCAAGAGATGAAGGAGAAAGAGGGTCCCTTGAGGACTTTGCCAGCTATCCTTGGCCCCAGCCCAGATGAACCCTGACTATCCCAGAGTCCTGACTGAGAGGCAGGTTCTTTTCCACTCACTCTTGGCTCCAACATTTTTCTGGGTCTACCTCTATGCATGGAGCTCACGAGGCGTCACTGTCGGCTGCCTCTGGGAGCTGATGGACAGCTGGGCTGGCGGCTGGGCCACCAGAAGTGTTGGCCCAGGGCTAGAACCTGGCCCCCTGTGCCTATCTCCCCTCGCCTAACCCCACGGCCCTGAGGTGGTTTCCAGACTGTAGTCAGCTTAAGGCTATTTCCAGTGCCCACTGGGGTCAGAGGTCCAGCATGCAGATAGTCCCAGCAAACTGTTGGTCCAGCCTCCTAGGACATCCACCCTCTAGGACCTCATCCCTATAGGAAGGTGGGGCATGGGGACTAGAGTGGGGTAAGGACCTACAGTCAGGTGGACAGACACTCAGAAGTTTCAGAGGTCCCTGCCCCCTCATTTCTTGGAGAGCCTGGCCCACGTGGGCTCAGAGGAGCCACAGGACCTATGATGTTTACTGCAGACAGCTTTGGAAGACCTCTTCTGTTCTGCTTGGGTCAGGCAGGCTGTCTCAGGCTTTCAGGGAAACTGAGTCATCAGGCTGTTCTGTCCCAGAATATATGAAAGCCAGGAAGAGTGGGAGACCCTGACTTCCACAGCCAGTCCTGGCTCCCTCCAGGCTCACTCTCCTGCTTTACCAAGAGAGCTTTCCTTCCTGGGCCCTGAATTCCCATTCTGTACAATGAAGGTGGCATTAAGAACTGTTGTAGGCCTTTCTGCACCCACGTTTGATGCCTTCGGATTCTGAGCCCCTTGCAGGCAGTGGAGGGAGACGCTCCTGCCTGGGCGAGGCCCTGAGCCTAGCTTTGGCCCGGAAAGCAGGGCATAAGTACAGCTCCCCCCTCCGAAGACAAGGTCGCCTTCGTGGCGCAGGGCTCCTCCCGAGCCGGCTAACAGCGGAACGGTGAGGCCTGGAGGAAGCAGGACAGGGGACAGAGCCGCACAGACAGCTCTAGAGGGAGCCGGGCTAGGGTCACTGTCCCCGCTCAGGGTCTCCTCTGCTTGCAGGGGACACCTGTCATTTTCCTCTTGGAATGAGAGAGCTGATTCTCTCCCTCTCCTTCCCAGGGAAGAAATCCAGACCCAACAGAGGAGAGATCTCTCAATTACGAGGAGAAAGGCAAAGGAAGTTCATGGTCAGGAAAGGATGGAGTTGGCCAGTGTCTTGGAACCATGGGAGGTTCTGCCCACGCGGCCTCCAGAGGATTTTTAAAGCTCTGAGCAAGGCAGCTGCATCCTTGCCCTTCCCACCTTCCCTGGAGCAGCGGCTCCCTCTGGGGGGCAGCACCCTTCCTGTTTGAAAGATGCTCTTGCATACCCTCTCTCTTCCTTCTTTCTCTCTCTCTGTCTCCCTTCCATAAAACAGCTGTTGGATGCCTGCTGTCTGCTGAGCACTGTGCTGGGAGTAGGAAAGCTACCAAGAAAGCTAGGTGTGAAGGCAGGGCGGACAGGGGTTAGTTGAGCAGAAGGAAGGAGGGAGGGCTTTCCAAACAGGGAGGCCAGAAGTATGGGCTTAGAGGCCATGTCCGTGGCAGTTAGGGACAGGTTTGGTTCCAGTGGAACGTGGGTGTTGGGAAGAAGAGAACCATGGTTGTAGTGGGGGTGTGAGCTGAGCCGGGAGGACCTTAAGTGCCCAATTAAGGAGTTGAGACTCAACGGGAGGATTGTCACATTTCTTTTCAGGGAAGTGGTGTGATATGGGGTGTGAAGGAGAAGGGGGCTGAGGTGGTCATCAGAAATGGAGCCATGGGGTTCTAGATCAGGACACAACTGCAGGAGTAGCGAGAAAGGGAGAAAGAAGAGCCAAGAATTGTTGACCGGCGGGACTTAGGAGCTGGAGGAGAGGGAGGAATCCAAAGTGGCAGATTTACAGTTTGGAGTTTGGGAGGACGCTGGAGGTGGCCCCAAGCCCAGGAGCCCTGGAGTGGAAGCCGTGTTTTGGGGCAGAGGAGGAATTTGGGGTTTTGGTTATAAAGAGACAGGCTCTCAGTGGAGCTTGCTTGTGGTTGGAGATGCAGACTCAAGTGTCATAGGGCAGGCTGGGCTGCTGGTCACAAAGGGAGAGCTCGCCTGGCCGGGACAGCCGAAGGGGGCCAGGGTGGAGGGGGTGGCCCCAAGATCTCCCAAAGGGCTGTGCCACAGTGGTCCTAGGCTCCCCTGGAGCTGTTCGTGTTAGGAAAGGTGGAGGGAGAGGAAAGTGGGGTGGTGTCCCTGTGTGGGTCCTCCGCCCCCAGTGGCCAGTGTCCACTTTGAGCTGCCCTGGGGGTAGGAGGGGCGATCAGGGCCTGTAGGCATAATGGGCCTTGTGCTAGTCTCACTGAGCTGGGTGCCTCCTGGCTCCTGCTGAATTAACTGCTTTGTTTTTCTCCTCTTCTTTTCTCTTCCAGCTGGTTTGCCTTGTGTGGCCCCTTTAACCGTACTTTAACCTATTAATGGGTGTTCTCCAAGCCACCTGTCTCCTTCCCAGGGTGTTAGCGGATTTCTAAGAATGGGGGCCCTTCTCCCCCAAAAGGCCGAGGGTTGAAGCAGGAGCTGCTCCCCAGGCTGGTGCGCTGCGGGGTTGGGAAGCGTGCCAGGCAGCCATGAGCTCCTCTCTGGGGGCCAGTGACCCAAGTGCCTGGGACGCATTTTTCTCAAAGTGCAGCCCCAAGGGGCCTCCTTCCTGCCTAACCATCCCCCCTGGACTCCTCTGCATTTAATGAGCTCTCGGATTCAGATACCCTGGTGTCTGGTGGTGAGGCCAGCAGGCCAACTAAGACAGCTGGTCCCTTTTAATAGAAAGGCCTCCAGGCCCCAGATGGTGGCCAATTAATACTCTGCAGAATGTTGTTGGTTTCGCCTTCTTTCCTTGCTTTTTTGGCCTAATGATTCCATTTGCTGTTTTCGCTTAGCTTATCAAGCAACCGGTTGTCTCACCCCAGCTCTGGAAGGTAAACGCACATTGCATTACATTTCTCTGACTGCTTTTTTTTCCTTGGGTCTGGGCATTGAAGGGCCTCGGGGTGACAGTTTGTGCACTGACGGGGCTGCATGGGGTGAGGGGAGGGCTGGAGGGTGGTGGCGGGCGGGGGGTGTGAGAGGGCATTCTTGTGAGCACGGGTCTTACAGGGGCTAGAGTTGAAGCTTGCATGGACCACTGAAAGGCTTCTGGGGACCCAGAAATAGGCAAGGCTTCCCTAGGTGCACGCTGCTGTGTCTCTGTGCCCCCAGGAGAGGTACCACGGGGCCCAGACAGCAAACCACCAGGCATGGGCCCCACTTCCCAGTCTGAGGTCTCCACGGTGTTTGTAATCCCATGTCTAGGTTGGACCCCTTACTGTCGATCTTCTGACCAGGGTTCCTGCCTTAAATGGTTTCCCCCTGAGTCCCTTAAGTTCTTCTACCACCTCTTTCTCTAATCCCCCTCTCCTTTGGCTCTCTCCACCCCCACAGGACTGTGCACTCTTTGAGGTCAGGGAGCACTGTGTTAGTGTTTTCCTGCATTTGCTTGTTCTCTGCACCTGCTTCAGAGGCAGGGCAGGACTGGAGCAGGCCCAGTGGGGGTTCGCCCGTGGAATGCCTGTCCTCTCTCCTCCCGAGCTGGGGACAGCTTTTTACTGTTGGCTGAGCTGACTTTTATAATCAAAGTGGGAACATTTCCTGGCTCTCTCCCACCACTTGGACCTCCCACCATCTGGTAGATTTGGGGAGAGCTGCCTACAGTTTCTGTACACAGAGAAAGATTCCTGAGTAGCCACCTGGTGTCCCAATAGGTAATAGTGTCTACAGACACCATTAGGACCTACCATGTACTTTCCCTTGATATAGGAGAGCATTGAGGAACTTTGTTCTGGGTTAGTTCAGGGTCTGGACGGGTGGGAGAGAGGACATCACAGACAATTCAAAGTGGAGTGCTAAGTGCTAAAAGAGAAAGGTCCTTGGAAGTTTATTTAAAGCAAGGTAAAGAACCAAACCTAAGGGCAGAGTCCGGTTCCTCTGAACACCATGAAAGCCAGTGATTCTGGTATTCCTTAGAAACACACGATTAGGTTGTGATCTCCTTATGAAGTCACAGAGTTGGAAAGACTTGGCGGTGTCAGGGTGGGACCAGACTGTTTCCAGATGTGTGGACGTCTGGCTTTCTAGGACCCTGGAAGCAGCTCATTCACAGTCCGTCAGAGCGGTCTGGAGTTGGGGACAGAAAGCGGGTGACATTCGGTGGACAGCATATGCAGAGACTTTCCCTGTCTCCCCTCATGCACCCCACACCCACCTCCCAGAGGGCTTTCGGCTAGTCATGCCGTGATTTTCCCCATGTAAACATTTTCTGTAATGCAGCTTAGAACCTAGTGTGGGAAGTTTGAGAAGATGAGTGTTCTTTCCTGTTCAAAATCAGTAAGGACGCAAAATGACTACCTGTTGAATATCTCGCATGAGCACCGCCTCTGCAAATTTCCTGGAAGCAGAGTTTCCCTCTTTTCTCTCGGGCACCCATTTCCAGTAGCTTATCTCCTTAGACTCGTCCAAGCAGCCTAAGCTGAATACTGGATCCAGGCTCATGTTCATGAGTAAGATAGGATTCAGGTTATGGAGGGAGGACAGAACGAGGGCTGTTTTGAATTAGCTGCAACATCATGGAAGTCCAAATCCTTTTGGCACAACAGTTTCCTTTGGCAACTGTTGGTGGGGATTTGGTATGCCCCAAAGTCAGAAATTTGCTCTCAGTGTGAGAGCAGCAAGAAACATTTTCAGATGTTATGTTCCTGAGTGTCAGGGAATTGAAGGACCCTCTCTTTCCAAGCGGGTTAGAGGAAAAGGAAGAGTTGTACTCGAGAGAGGAGTTCTAGATGAGAGCATCACAGGGAGTGTTCTAGAAGCCTGACTGTAGACCCAGTTCAAGCGTTCAGCTGTGTGGGAGGTTAGCGTCCCCCTTTCTGGGTAGACTTTGCCGGGGAGGGCTCCTGTCAATTCCCCGAAGGCCCAGGCATCTGCATTCCTGTGGAGACACCACGCCTGGAGCCCTGTGGGTCCAGAAGTCTTACCTGCTTCCAGACGCTCTTCCTGGGATAGAACCTGTCTCCTCAAACTCAAGTCCAGAATGACATGCACAGAAACAATGAGTTGAGTGTGGAAGCTCTCCCCACAAAGCACAGGGTTGTAGCCCCTCGTTGCTGTGCTCGAACAGACCCCCCCCCGCCCCCAGTGGAGAGGTCTCGAGCCGACACGCATTGCCTGGGTGGCAGCCCCTCCTCTGAGGCACGGAGAAAGGCAGACCCTCCCGCTTCTGTTCACTTCTCCCCTCATGGTCCTCACTGCTGCTCACAATGGGCTGTGTGAGTGGGGAGGGCCGGGCACGGCTTGTGCACTAGACAACTTGGCTGTGTGGTTACGCTTCATGCCTAGGGACGCATTGTGTCTCTGCGGGCCCGTGAGAGGGTTTGGCATGGTGGTTTGCTTCCTGTGCCCAGGAAGGAGAGGACTGGACATGCTAAGCAGTGTTGGTGAGTCCACGCTGGACTCTGAGCCTGCAAATGCCCTTGAATTCGGAGAGGCTGACTGTCACAGTGGAACTAAAAGTCCTGGCTTTTGCAGGGATGGATCTGGTTCTGGTTTGGCAGTCGTGCTGGTTGGTCTTGGAGCTGGCAGCCATGTATTCACTTGCGCATGTGGTATCCAGGGATGATCCAGGAGCAGACTCTCTTTTCTGATGCCCCGAGGAATTAGAGTCTAACTTTGGATCCAGATCCCTGGCATTGGCTGGCTTATTCTTTATCTACTATGGTCTATGCTCATAAATTCGGGGGCATTTCTTTTGAGCCCAAACATTAGGGGAGACCCCTGAACTGCGTCTCCTTGAGGGTTAACTGGCTTTTCCCTCTTTGGCATGAATGGAAGCTCTGCTGTTCTGGGGTCTCCATCTCTGAGGCTGGACCTGTCCATATGTGTGCCACCCCCATGCACGAGCTTTCCGGGAGATAAATGGTAGAGGGTAAAGCAAAGCCCTCCAATAAGGATGGGAAAGGGACACCAGGGCTGATGGTTTGGCATGCTTAGGAGCCTGGCCCATGGTCAGAAGACTGCCTATTGGAATGGGTCTGGATCAGGTTTCCATTCAGCCCCTCGGTACCATCCCTGCCTCCAACCTGGCCAAGAGATCTGGCTCTCTTGAAGACTTGCTCAGGTACTGGAGCCATGGCCATGGGATGATGGATGGATATGGTAAGATTTAAGTTGCTTTGGACAACACCAGTCCAAATTGGGCAATACCAGATATCTTGGCAGGGGGGGAAGGCCACTCTGAAAAGTTCTTTGCCTCTCCTAGGAGCACCTTCTGCTCCATCATTGCTCAGCTAACAGAGGAGACCCAGCCGCTATTCGAGACCACGCTCAAGTCCCGGGCTGTGTCCGAGGACAGTGATGCCAAGTTCACCTGCATCGTCACAGGTAATGAAGCCCTCTGTACAATCCACACCAGGGTCACTGCACACAGGAGGGTCCCAGGGGGCCGTGGGGACAGGCACGGAAGGGGTTGGCTGTGTGCATAAAACTGTGCAAGTTCACATTTGTTTCCTTAGCTTTCTCTCCAGTTTAATCTCCCTGTGTGGGCTGGGGTCCCTTTCTCCTCCCATTCTGGGACCACATATACACCCTGCTCTTCTTCAAAATCTATTTTCAGGTTCTTAACTCTCGGGCAAACATAGACGACCAATGAATCTTAGTTGCAAGGAAAGAAGCTCTCCAGTTGAAAAAGGTTTTTGAGGCCGTCTCCCCAAATATCCCCATTTTAGAGTTGAGTAGGTTGACGCTTGGGGCTGTCAAGCCTGAGAGACAGTGATGTCGAGTGATTCTGACTGCAGACCCTGGAGACAGACTGCCTGGCTGGAATGCTGATCTGTCCCCTTTCCAGTTACGTGATACAGAGGAGTTTGCATAACCTTTCATGACTTCGCAGCACCTCCTCTGTAAAGTGGGGATGATGATAGTATGAACCTCATAGGATTATTGTGAGACCCGAATGCATCAAACCTGCAAAGCATTTGGAATAGTGCCTGGCATACAGTTAGTACCGTGTAAGTGTTAGAAATGAAGACAACTATTATTCGCATTTCCCTGAGCTCCATGGCGGGATTTGGCAGAACAGGAAGCAGAGTGATACTCCTTGGGAGGGGATGGTGTGGTGGGAGGACTGGAAAGCTGGCCCTGAGCATGGCCTCTCCTCCAGACCTCCTGTCGCACCAGCCTGACCTGCTAGTGGGCCTGCAGGTCTGCCCCTCCCAGCCGTGCAGCCATCAGACCAAGGGGCCCAGATCAAGCTTCCCTCCAAGAGTACCCTTTTTTTCCCCCCAGTAAATCAAGGGCATTGGTAGTTTCCAGCTGTGACATGCCCTGATTCTGGGGGACCTGTCTGCCCCAGCCATCTAAACAGCTTCTCTGGGACTGGGTTCCCCCAGGCAGTTCTCACCCTTACCCAGAACCCTCTGAGCTCCACGCTGAGAACCCCGTCTGTTCCAGGGGATGGCAGACACCTGCCTATATCCCTTACCTTTGTGTGGCATGACACATTTTGCAATATTTATCTGTTTCCATTGTCATTGGATTCTTACAAAACCTGGTGAAGTAAGTGCTATTATTAGTCAAATTTTACGGAGAAGGAACCGACAATAGGTTAGGTGACTTGCCAAAGTCCACAAAGCTGGTGAAGAGGAGATATTACTTCTGCTCTCTGTAGCATCTGAGGCTTCTCCTTTATGCTTGCTTTGTAACTGTGGTACTAACAGTTTTCTGGAAGAACTTAGCTCTTTCACAAATCTGTACTTACATACGCTATTTTCCCTACATAGAAAGTCCTTAATCACTTCTTTTTAAAGGAAATTAATTTTTATTTGATCAAATTAACACATATACATAATGTAAGTCTTCAAAGTATACTAATAGGCATGTATCAAAGTACAGCAGTTCACCTCTCCCACCAGTTTGTCTTCCCGGAAGCGACTGTTTTCACCTTTTAACTATTAGTATATACATTTAGCTATTCAATGTATTTATTAGCTATCAGTGTCTACATTTAGCTATTAGTGTATACATTTAGCTGTTTAGTGTATACATTTCCACAATGCTGAGTAATTATGTGACTGTTCTGCCTTCAGCTCGGGTCACGATCCCAGGGTTCTGGGATCGAGCCTCACATTGGGCTCCCTGCTCAGCGGGGAGCCTGCTTCTCCCTCTCGCACTCCCCCTGCTTGTGTTCCTGCTCTCCCTATCTCTCTGTCAAATAAATAAATTTAAAAAATCTAAAAAAAAAAATAATGTGACTGTTGCTAACTTTTGACGCTTCGGGTTTTCATGCTAGCTGGTCTTCCTGTTACAGTGGTTAGGGAATTAGCTCTCTCTATCTTAATTTTCTCTGTTTCTCCTCACTTATCTTCTCAATATAGTTATGTCATAATTTTTGCTTAAATTGATATTTACTGTTTACCTTATTTCTAGGTAATATTATTCATAACCGAAGATTGTAGTATACTATGATTATACTTCTTTCTTCTGTTTTTACTCATTAGTATTTTCTTTAATTTTTCATTTAATTGGTTGTTTTTTTTTTACTACCTATTGCTAAATTTTCTTATCCCATCCAATAGCCTCTTGCTACAGTTTCCTACAAGGTCACTGTCATCAGTCCTGTCAGCTGCTTTCCTTGGAGACATCTCTCTTGGACATCTCTGTTCTTCTGTCTCAACTGGTGGCCTTTTAGGCCAGATACACAGCTGTTATCCTGGGGTTTCCCTTGCCTTTCTCCTGGGTTTGATTCAGTTTCCTGGATCTCATATGGTCCTTTTTCTTGGTTTATTCTCTGGCTTTACTAAACTACATCTTTCAGTAGTGTCATGAAAAAGACATTCTACCAGAGATGGTATGACAATGGGGGCTTTGTGGTGACAAGCTCTCCACCTGTCTCTCCTTTGAGCCTTTCAGCCCCAGTGTGATTTAGTTGCTTTCTGCATCTGACACATGGTTGGCATCTTGGAATCTCCCTTTACCATCATCCTATGCATTCCCTTTACCTTTCTCCTGTGATGGATTTCCTGGTTTTTATATTTCACATTTTTCTTTTTCTTGATTTACATTCTTTTTTTTTAAAGATTTTATTTATTTATTTGGGAGAGAGAGAATGAGAGAGAGCACATGAGAGGGGGGAGGGTCAGAGGGAGAAGCAGACTCCCTGCCGAGCAGGGAGCCCGATGTGGGACTCGATCCCGGGACTCCAGGATCATGACCTGAGCCGAAGGCAGTCGCTTAACCAACTGAGCCACCCAGGCGCCCTTGATTTACATTCTTATTTTGGTAGCTTCCTAGGCAAAGTACGTGGGAAGTAAATGTTAGACAACTTCTGTCTGAAAATGTTTTTTTGTTTGTTTTTTTATTTTACTCTTGATGGAGAGTTTGGCTGGGTATAGAATTCTAAGTTGAAAATAATTGTCCTTGAGAATTTTGAAGACATTGCTGCATTGTCTTCTTGCTCCCAATGTTAGTGTTCAGAGCAAGTTGATGATTTGACTCCTCATTCTTTGCAGGAGACTGTTTGTTTGTTTTCTTTTTTCCCTCTCTCTCTCTGGAAGCTTGTAAGAATGTTCTGATATTTCATAATGATGTATTTTGATATGGGTGTCTTTTCATCCTGGGGTGTGCTTGGACTCTTTCAATCTGGTAACCGATGGCCTCTAGGTCTGAGAAATTTGAGATTATTTTGATGTTGGTTTGTTCCTCCTGTTTTCTCTCCTCCTTCTTTCTGGAACTCTTGTTATGTGGATATCTGCTCCCCTGGACTCATTCTCTTATTTTCTTTTCCTTTCTTCCCCTTTTATCTATTTGTCTTTTTGCTCTACTTTCTGGGAGATTTCCTCTGGGTTTTTAATTTCTAAGAGCTCCTTAAAAAATTTTTTTTTTAGGGACACCTGGGTGGCTCAGTTGTTAAGCATCTGCCTTCGGCCCTGGTCATGATCCCAGGGTCCTGGGGTCGAGCCCCGCATCGGGCTCCCTGCTTGGTGGGAAGTCTGCTTCTCCCTCTCCCTCTGCCCCTGCTTGTGTTCCCTCTCTCGCTGTGTCTCTCTCTGTCAAATAAATAAATAAAATCTTAAAAAATGTATTTTTTTTCCTGTGGCAATCTGTTCTGCATGAACGTAATATCTTCTCTTAGCTCTCTGAGACTAGTAATGATAGTTTTCTAAAAGTTTCCTTCTCCCTGCATAGCTTGAGTTCCTTCCAATTTGCTTTTTTTTTTTTTTTTAATTTAGTTGTTTTGGTCCTTAATTTTCTATGTATAGGCTTTTCTCAGACACCTAGGGATCTTTGGGTGTCAGATAATGGTCAAAAAGCTGGTTGTCAGTTCTGAGCAAGCAGGAGGGGCCTGAAAACTTGAGGCTTCCTTGTAGGGTGATCTGGCAACCACTGTTGGAACTGACAAAGCAAGTTTCTTTAATTCCTTCATCTTGGGCTAGCTAGAGTCCCTAGTGAATACTGTTCCCATACCTTGCCTGGAGGGTAAAGATTTTCCAGGAGCTATGCAGACGACAGGGTTGGGTGGGCTCTCATCAGAGAGCATTTATTTTATGCATACAGTTACTATGTTTTTCTGTTTCCCATAGAGTAGTCATGCCCTCAGCTGTGCTGGCTTGCCCTTAGGGTAGTTTTACCTTTCCAGATAATCCTCAGGGTACTTTTACCTTTCCAGATAATCATCCTCGCCTTTTGACCATGGAGGCGGGGCGGGGGGG